ATATGGTGAAAGTGAACTTGACACAGGTTTGCTGACAACCTATCACAGGCATAGATATACTTAGGTAGGGCACTGGAATGGTACGAACAACATTACAACTATCTGATGTCAGATCAGATGTTAGCCCTGAACAAATTCCAACTTGAGCGCATTTCACTGCAAATGTTTGGCAACGTCAAATCCCCTTCACTTTTGCATTCGCCCTGGCCCGAAACGCCCGTCACTGTCAAACAGGCTATGTTAATAACGACTGGCAATACTCAGTATATTACACCGTACACCCTAATATGCTTGTTGAAATTGATCGAATAGTCCGGTTGCACGTGAGAATTACTGACAGTGATGGTGCTACAAGTGAACCATGCCAGGTGTAGCAACTTTGTAATGGCAAGTTTACTGTCATTAAACCTTCCTGTATGCAGCCAGATTCTTTGTAATCCTAGCGGGGCACCTGTAGAGGGTAAAGCTGGTTTTTATATGAAACAACTGAACAAAAGTTTCACAAAATAAAACAAAATTGTTGAGTCACTGTGTAATATTTTCACAATTTTTCCCTCTTTTCTGCAATATGACTCTCCCAATCAGATGACTGACAATATTTTTCAAATAATGGGGAAAACTAGTTAAAAATTGGCATATGATTCCATGTTTTCTTGAAGTAGAGAGCAATTCTTTCAGGAAACATGGAAGAAGTAGAGTATTCTACCTAGAGCGGTAGAGTTTAAGGAAGTTTAACTGGTTAGCTGACTAATGTAATTCCTGGGTTCTGCCTAAAGACGCGGAGTGATTTGGCATTAAAATAAGTCCCCCAAACTGGACTTTTGATGGAATAAATTACATTAACATTCCTCGCAAGTACACATCGTGAATAGTTTCTTGAAACTTTAGCACCTGCTTTGCATTAAGATTAAATAAATATATTTCAAATTGCAACTGAAATCTCTAGGTCAGTTGTGGCAAAACAAAAATAGTAATTGCATAATGTCCAAGACAGTTCTGAATAAACACGAGTTGGAATAATTTCTTAGTTCTCACATACGGCGACTGAAGACAACAGATCTTTGGAATAAAAATCAGAGATTTCATGGAATTCATATTTCATTTGAAAGAAAAAACTTCGCAATGTTGAGTTTCACATTTCTCTTCACAACAGAACTCAATTACATTTTATAGTCCACAATTCTCTAGGTAAAAGAAGCGACATCCCAAAAAAAAAATTTAAAAAAAAAGCAAATCAGCTTCATTATTTAAAAACCCAAAGTTTTACATACACCGCTTTGTGTCACTAGTAAAACTTCTTGGCTGCCGCTTCTTGTTTACTCCTGAAGGAAAAAACGAAAAATAGACAACAAATTGACTTCAATACAAAACAATTACAAATCGGTGAGGTTTCTAATTTGGGGGGGGGGGCTGGATGGCATCATCGTTACCACAGCCACAATTTTGAAGGCATTCTTACAGGGAACTTTCTTAAATCATCAAGCACTCGACTGGTTTCCTTCGCCACTGAGGAAGGAAACCAGGGGCACAGTCTTCGTATTTATCCAGAGGCGTCAAGTGCCATGTACAGTGATGGTGGCTGGAATGTACCTTCCTCAATCCTTCAACATCCTTCATACCCTCCCCGTGGATTTTGAAGGATCTTGAAGGGTAACAGGGTTGAGAACCTGAGGCAAGATATCAAGGATTCTCCCATGGTCATATTTCCTTTTTACGCTTGGTTGGCATTTGAAACTTGGTATAAACCAGAACAGTTAGTCTGGAGGCATTCTTGGGATTAACTTACAAGGCTTCCACTTCATTTTCATGCCAAATGATCAACGCAAAGGTGTAATTTCTTTTCAGAGAAATGATCTAATACAGAGTGGTGTGCTTTGTGTAATAAAAACTGAAAGAAAAATAGACCCAGGTACCAACATTCGGGGTATAGAGTACCTGGCACTCGTCACTATCGAAAAGTACATAAATGAGGTTCTCACTCACCTATAGACAGCATATAAGAAGAAAAAACCTCCTTGTATAACAAGCAGAAAAATGAAATAAACTGGAGTTAAACAGTTGGGGTATTCCTCTTGAGGTGGGCATTGCACTGTGGGGGCTTGCTGGAAGATGAAAACAAAAATGAAGGGAAAAAGGAATTAGGACTTTTGCTTCCAGTGACCATACGATTGATAGTTCTGGATGGAGTTGGGATAAGACGGTCAGTGCAGGCCCGATTTGCTGCGGTGCACCATGTTGAATGGCAATGGTAAGCATGACGGTCAATGTTGTGGATTTTTTTTAGATTGAACACCGGTTGGTGTCATGACGCATCCTGTACATCCAAGACATTTAGGATGAGGGGAAGAATCTGGTAGAAGATTTGGTTGAAATCAGGGCTGGGAAGTGGATGGCTCTGAGTGTCATGCGACTTACCCTGCGGTGATGAATGGCAATGTGGTTGATACAATGGAAAAATGTGGACGACAGTGGATTGGGCAGTGGATATGGTTGAAAAGAGGGCTAGGCAGTGGATTTTGCTGGGAATGATATTACACTGGATGGTTGATGTTGTGGATATGGCACTTGTGGATTCTAATGGTCACACTGAGGACATGGGAAATGCACATGATGCTGATTCAACACTCAGGGGTTGTGGAGGGATAGAATCTGCTTCCGGCACTCACAGTGGCTTTCCTGAGTAGTTGGCTGACGTCGCCGGTCAGTGAGCTGATTTTATCCCGCAGCTCGTGGGTCAGCAGGAAATCCTGGTTGCCCTGGTTGCCCTGGGCGACGCTGTCCACTCTGTTGTGGATGCTGCTCGCTTTGGCCTGGACGTCGCCTACAACGCTCCTGTGGATACGTGTGGATGAATCAGTGGATGTGTGGAGATCAGTGGATATATGGAGCATCTGTGACGAGATCACTGACTGCTTTTCTTGGCATTGGGAGCACATTTTTCCTACACTAGTGTGACTTTTTCTAGGCATTCCTTCAAAAACATTCCAGAATGCTCAAAAATCAAACAGTGTAAAGGTACACTACAGGCAACTCTCTATTATTTCAAGAGGCACCAAGCTAAATGTGAAGTCAGCAGCAGTGGAAAGATTTTCAGAGTGGGGGGGGGGGCAGCTGTGAGACCATCAGCCATTAGTGGGCTGATCGATTAAACCCCATCCCATTACAGGACCTGCAAAAAATGGGGGGGGGATGCCCCACCCCCGAGTGGAGTGGAGGGGGGCTGTACCTTCCTCAAGCATCCCCTCGTGGATTTGGAAAGGGTCTGAAAGAGAGAGAACAGGTTGTACCTGACGTCCCTGATTGACCGCTGCAGCTCCTGCTGTGTGTTTAATATCGTGTCAACTTCGTGCCTCTTGATTTCTGAGGTGGTTGGTGGTGATGGCTGGCCCCCCGTGGAGGCAGGCGGAGCCCCGCCGCCTCGGCCAGCTGCCTGGACGGCGGAGATGGCCGAGAGAGTACGCTCCTGCCGTCCGACGATCTCGTCCAGCTTGCGATTCAGTTCACTGATAATGAAATTGGGTGTTAGAATTCTGGTAACTGATTTGGCCAAAATTTGCTCAGATTGGATTACTTCCCTGGTGCCTCTAACAACTGGACGCACCATGGGGACGCAGAACTTTGACTGGCAAAGTCAAGGGTCCGGCACGGCTCACTAACAACATTTTGGGCATCCTAAATTTCGGGCAATTTGAAAAAAAATATTCCTTGCTACATTGTGGTAAGTTCTTGAAAAATTTTATTCATTACAAAGAAAGGTGTTAGGAGACTTGGGTTCAAAGGCTGATTGTGTTAAAAGATTTTCACTTTTCAGATTATTTCAGATAGCGCACAAGCTCTAAAAATGACAACGGGTATACTTACACAATTGATCTACTGATTGTGGTCTGAACTTCATAGATCTGTCTTAATTCTCTTGTTTCTGTATCTTCAAACTGAAATGAAAGTTCAATTAAGATGCAAAATCTTAAAAAAACACTGATTTTTTGGATAATTTTTTCAAAATTATAAGTGACTTGAAAGAGAGTCAAGTGCGCCTTAGAACCAAGTGGCTCAAGTCTCAACTCAGACCACATGAGAAACGTACCCGCAAACTCAAATCACATAAAGATAGAGATCAGAAAAGAAAAGCATCAACGGTTGGTCCCAAACCGACTCAGTCATGCTCAGACTCAAAATGACTCGAACTCCCTCTCAGGTGAGCAAAGAAGCGTCCCAAGACTCAGATCTGGATAATATGCTGCAGACACAAGACTTCATCTCAAGTGTATCGAGTTTAAGTCCACAATGAGCCAACATGTCAGGACTCAGATCTCGACCGAGTTACACAACACAAAGTTTCTGAGCCAAATGACTCGGGTGGTTGTGAATAATTATGCACAAGAGATGGCCTTGACCTCTGATGAGTGCGCAAATTGTTCTCTAAGGTCAACCATTACATTGGATACTTACAAACGTCTCTTCTAGTATATGATCTTTCACTTTGTCTGGATGCTTCTCCTGAAATCTAAAACAGAAAGAATGGAATTTATTTATACGGCAAAAACTGGGTCAGTACTCTTGAAAAAACAAAAAAGCAGATAACTGATTGAACAAGGTAGTTGTTTGAATGACAAACACAATCTTTCTCAATCTCTGGAAGACATTTCTCCTGCTAGCAGGGCTTACACATCCGACCCTCTTTACTTTCGGCACCAGGGTTGGATTTTTACTCTCCGGGTCCTTATGTCATTGCAGTAGTCTGGGAACCAGATTACAGCAGTTCATTTCTGCCAGGTCTCTACAGTTCAATTTGTGGCATGCTAGAGCTGTAGTTCAGAAGTCTCAGGTTCACACCCCCGTTAAGTCGCACTTAATCTTTGCCATTCAAATCCCCTCTGTTTCAATGTGTTATACCTCGGCACCACAAGTGACAGTTGGTGAATCGCTACGTCTGCAATTTCCAAGTCCGTGAACAAGTTTAGAAGAAGAATGCGAAATCCAAAAAACAAAGCTTATGACCACAAATACTGCAAATCACGGAACTTCCCTGAATATCGTCCTCCCCTTTCTACCACTAAAATTCTAACTGCTCATAAAAAAACAAAACAGGACTCACTCTTTCTTCTGTTGCTGTAGTTTTTCATAGTATTCATCGTACTCCTTCTTAAAACGTTCCTCCTCATCATCCGAAATTGCTTGATCTTTAGGAGGAGTCTGGATGGGTTATGAAAGTCAGGTGAAAAAGTATCACTATACTCCGTGGGTTTGGGTCCTCTAAAGTAGCACATAGAGATCTGCGAAGTGAGTCGAACTCTATTTTAAAAAAATCCACTTCGAAAAACTTACCCGTGGTTCGTCTGGGGGTATCAGACTGTGCGTCAAAAATTTAATGACATCGTGATCATCTGAAAATGAAAGATGAGCACACAACTGACTGCAAGAAAACCAGTGTGGGTTCAGCGTACAACTACGCTGGAACATTTGTGCACATTCAGTTGAAAATTTGGTTCTGACTACTAATGACCATCTACATACTGGCTTTACCACAGACACAAGATACCATACTGTGTATCCTGCGTGCCTTCCTTAAGCTCATATGAGTAGGCCCTGTAGCTCACTCTTTTTATGAATTTCCACAAACTTAGGGGTACTCTGTACAAATAGAGGGCTGTGCCAGCAATGAATCCTTTTACCTGCTAGCCCGCCAGTGGCTGCGGTCACCCCAAAGTAGCCGTCCTTGGGTAACGTCACGTCCTCTCTTCTCAGGCATATCTCGTAGTTGGTGTCTATGTTGGTCCATCCGCTGTGGATATAAACCTGCATCAAATTGACGGCAGAAAATGCCGACTCTGAAGTCATTCCTTTAACTATCTGTCAGCAACTTACTGAATGAAACATCGATCATGAAACAAACTACAAGTGAAAAGCGCTCCAGAACAAAGATAACTGACAAATGGGAAGAGCCACCAACGTTGGGCTAGATAGCTCAGTTGGTAGAGCACCGGTACGGTATTCCGGAGATAGCAGGTTCAAATCCCGCTCCAGTCAATTTCTTTGTTCATCTTAATAACTGAATGAAACATTGGATAAGACTATCAGTGTTCTCTTTCCAAATTAATTGAGGTCAGCCAGTAACTGAGGTCAGACAGGTCCTTGACCCTGGTCAAGGCAGTGGTTAAGACCATCAGAACAACCTTCTCTTTCCAAATTTAATTGGGGTCAAGCAGTAACTGGGGTCAGACAGGTCCTTGACACCGGTCAAAGCAGTAAAGGAGATTGGAATGCTGGAGTGAGGCTAGTTAAAAAAAAAAGCTTCCAGCAGAGTGCCGCTGAACTCACCGTGAGCGTTTTCCGGTAGTACTCAACCTTGGCCCGGACCGGGTAGGGCTTGTTTCGGAAGTCCCTTAGGCATCCACCGAGCTGCTGGTTCATCCCGTCCGTGGTGTGCTGGTACTCCAGCCTGCCGTCGTTGACTATGGCCAGGATGTACGGGTTGTTGCGCAAGTTGTCGTTGTCGAAGGAGTCAAACATCACCGCCAGGCCGTTCCACTTGTCCGGCCCGCCAAAGACACTGATTTGGTTCGGGTGCTGAGGAGGGTGTTGCTGCTCTGGGGTCGATGCCACCCCATCCGGTTTTTTATCCACATACCAGAAAGCCTGAAAGAGAGAAGCGCCAGACATCACTGACCACTGAGTATCCTTGCGAAACGCCTTCCCGAATCCTCCAAAATCCTACACTGTGTTGAAAACCCGTGGTACATACAAGCCAATGTACAGCGGCTGCCCTATGCCATCATCAGTCTGTCAAAAGCCTACATAATAAACTGGTACATTTTGAAAGGTCTGGTAGAAACAAGTAATCCTTATCATCCTATGGGTTCACTGCAAAGCTCTCCAACATCAAAGTATGTGGTGTAGTCATGCTAAAATGCCGTTAGAACTATAATAAAAACCTGAAATGTTGCTCACACTAATTGGGGAATTGGTTTTTACGCCTTTAACATATCTCACACCAGCCATTATGAAAGTGAAATTCCCACCCAAAGACTCAACACTTTTCAAGTTCTGATTAATTTGTCTTGAGAAGTTTTCAAGATGACACAAACCTCAGATCCATAACATTCCCCAAAGAATACCAAGAAAAACAACAATGACTTCCCTTCCTATCTACAACCTTTGCCCTGAAATTCCATAATGAGAGAGTTTCACAATATATTAGTTTTGCAAAAAAGAACATCAGTCAAGGGGTAGAAAGGCAGCAGGTTTTTTTTATGAAAACAGTCAGGAGTTATGTGATTTTCAAGCATTCTGGAGAAGTTTCAAGTTTCACGGACTCACCAAGCCATCTGCGCCGACCCTCCCTCGACCGGTCACCTTGAAGAAAAACTCCACTTCCCAATGGTCGTACGGCACCTTGTACTTGGACCAGATGTAACCTGTGAGGTCAGGCAAAGGCAATTATTTTTTACCCAAATGCCCCTAGGGCAATATTAATTTGACTCTTCTCAAATCTTCACGAATCAAGCGCTGTGCAAGAAAATATTATTATTTTTATTCGCTTTAACTTTGAAGGGAAAAATTAATAAGGTTCTAATATGAATTTCTAGCATTCCATGTGTAAAAAAGACCTTCAAAGCAACAGAGGAGTTCTTTAATATTAGATTGCAGACAGTGGTTTACATGTTAAAAACAACTGAAAATTACATGATTCACGCAATAAAATGCCTCAGGATTGCAAAATGATGCTTGCCTGATTAAACGTAATAATGAAGATCACGTAGATGTTGATAAAAAATTGTTTCAGGCTTTCAGAAAATTACAAAAAAATGACTAACTTCTATGATATTTTTTGTTTCTAAGAGAGACAGTTTTTGAAAATACAGAATGATTATTGATGTTACTATAAATTTAAAAACAGCAATATGTTTACTTTTATTTTGGGCTCTCAAGCTCTTAGTTTTATAATTATGAAATCATCTAAATCAAATAATTCATATCAGCAGGTGTTCACATGAAAAGGCAAACAGTGTTCATGGGATACCAGTGATGAGAATGAAAGTAAACAGTGCTATCACCTCAGAGCCTTTGCATTATCATCAGAATCATGGCGAGAATGGTCCATATGGTTGGTGTCACTGTTGATGTCTAGGTAATGAGGTGGGCCAATCCATGCATTACTGTGTAGTGGCTAAACCATAAAATACTTACATGTGGTGGTGAGATAATGCCACATCATGTTTGATATTAATATTTCTACTATTTTACCAGGAATATCGAGAAACCAGTTAATTTCTCATAACATTACCTTGAACTTGGCTGGTCCCTTGCAATGGTAACATCATTGCTTCATAAACACTGAACTGAACCAGTGGATTTGGAATTCTCCTCACTGGCAATCTATACCACATTGCTTCTTTAAAAAATGTGTAATTTACAAACTGGTTTATGAGTCACAATGTTACCTCTTTGACTCCGTATGGAGGGTGTAATTCTGACTTGTTCATCTGAGGCAAATGCACCTGTAAATTAAACAAAAAAACTTTGTTCTTTGAAATTAAATCCTGGTCCAAAACGAGAAAAAAGGAAAAGCTTATGGATCAGTCTTTGTGAATTTAAAGAAACGGATTTGTAAATATGAACAACACAAATAAAGGAATGTTAGGCCTATTTCTTTTTGTTCCTGCAACTGTACAAAACTTTAACTCAATAGGCCTAATATAAGTAATATGTAGGACATAAGTAGGAACTCACATTCTTTAAACGCTTGAAAATTTAAATGATTATAAATGTTTACCAGCCTATTTAAGATAAATAACGTTATTGTCATCAACATGCAGGCAACAATGTAGGCCTACATGCAACATAAGCAGACCGCGCGAGTAGTCCTTGCAATAGAAGAACACGCGCAAGGACTGTCAAACCGGTCGAGTGTCAGCCACATGCCAATATACTTACACAGACCTACCAATTTTACCATATTTACTTCGAAAAGTACTTACTTCCACCATACTGCCAAAATGGAACAGAGCCATCTTTTTGCATCAAGTGCGGGCCTTTGAAGCTGTGTTTGTACTCGAATCTCCGATGTGGCGCTTGACCAAAACAGACAGAAAACATCGACAAAAAGAGCAGAAGACACGAAACACTCGCCGCGTGAGTCGCCATTTTGATTACAAGTATGAATATGTAAAATTTAATTTGCATACAGCTGGTTACTTTAAACAAAATAACGGTGCATAGATGGCCGACTTCTCCACTTTTTATTTACAGCATGGAGGAAGGAAAAGACGGTTATACCAACTTTTTTTCTCAGTTGTACTTATTAAAAATGAAGTCCAGTGGTTAAGCATCCAGCAGCACAAATGAATACAATGACATAATGGCGACGTTCAAGTTAATTCATCACTGCTTGTTCGACCTCAAGGGATCGCTTAGCATATGATTGACAACTTGGCGTAAACTGATTGGCCAATAGATACACTAACCCGTAGCAGGTGGCTAATCTTTATTCATAAGTGAATTACAATCCGTGCCACGGGCAGACTTGAGACAAGTAAGAGTAAGAACGTCAACTTTAGTTTTATTAAGACTTATTTGCAACATTGTCGAAATGAGCACACACCTTTTCCCCTCTTCACCATAAATTGCCTTAGGTTTTGTTTTGACAAAAGAAAAAATCTGAAATCAGAAAAATCTGGAATTGTAATGATTTCATAAATATGCAATAATAAACGTACATGTACATGTATATTGAACTATTTCACAGATGAGGTTTTTACATTGTATCGTTGGTTACTTGAATTAACACTCATCCACACTTTCAAAGGACAACTTTTATTTTTGGAATGCATAGTTCCATAAGCAGTTAAATTAACAAATTTCCAAATCTGTTTTGTTGCAAAACAAAAAATGAACGCCTCACTCTGCTAAGAAAAAAACCTTATCACCATTTAACAAAGAATGAAACTATCTCTGTGTCATAAATAATCTGTTTAAATATTTCTTGTACTTTTAAGAACAATAAACGACAATTTATGCAAATTTAATATTCATCATAAAATAAACCAAATACGACAGAGTAAAAATTAAAAAAAAGAAAGAGCAATGAATGTAGCTGACTCTTTAAGAAGTACTTATCAAGAGGTTTGTTAAAATCAGCAAAATACCAGCGGGCTTAATCCTACTGTTGATTACATGGGCAAATAAACTGTGATATTGTCCTTTTATGTTTTCTGGGACAGTCAAAAGGCAAGCATTTTCATAGGATGTCAAACCTTTTTAGTAGTAATATTCAACAGTGCAGCATAATTTTCTTTCAAGAGAACCCATCTTACCTAACTTCTACTCAAATCTGGGGTAATTTAACCTTTAATACTTACTACAGCGATGCTTTTTTCACTCGGGGAAGCTTTGATACTCCAAATAAAAGCTTCCCTCTTTTGACAAATCAGGAAATATGCAATGAAAAAGTAAACTTTCAAAAGTGTTGAGCATACAGTGCTTGCAGGGTCTCAAAAATGTACAAAAGTTCTGACACTCGTTAAAAACTTAACCAAAAATTTACCTGAAAACAAGGACTGGTGTTTGGATGAGCATAAAGGTAAATTTGAAGAACAAGTCATGTAATTTCCCAGCCTCGACTTTGTTTGCGGTGTGCAAACAAAGTTGGAGCCACTAATTGTGAAGGATTTCTCAGCACCTAACCGTAGACATAACGGAGGAGAAAAGATACATGTCGAACTAGATAAGAAGGGCACAGTTAACACAAGGTCAAATTTAGGACAGGGACAAATTTTAGGCCCCAAGTCTTTGTTTTTCTTCATTTTCCATTACTGACAATGCAAGGTAACTATTATAAAAGGGTAATTTGTGAAGTCCCAAGGTCCTTGTCATAACAGTGTTCCACTGTATATCTATCTGTATCTTTGATACAGAATGAAAAACAATCACAGAGTCTGTGAGCGACCATTGATTAGTTCCTCAAACTTTCTGCACTATTTCTGCTGGATAAAGTAGCCAGCAATATTCTGCATGTGAGAATAGCAAAGCCTTTTTCACACGTTCTGCGGACTTCAGAATGATTTTGGAGACTTTTCCGCCATTTCCTAGAAAACCAAACTTGCCTCCACATTTTTAGCTCTGATAGCATGCCTCAATCGATTACAATATGGTAGAGAGACAAGAAGGCCCATCCACCATTATGTTGAATTTTTAAATAAGGCGAGAGTTTTTTTCCTTAAGTTGGTGCTCGGATCTGCCAACCTTACCGATTCAGAACTGCAAAAAATATAAAAATTTTCTTTTTGAGAAGTCTCAGATCCACTGAACAACAATTAACCAAAATAGATCTTTAAAAAAAAAAAAGGAAAATCATTTTTTAGCTCCGCAGACCGACTAACGGCAAAGTCTCTGATTTCAATTTTGTAACCTTTGGTCCTTGACGACTAGTGTCAGTGGATAAGGATACCTCTTTTGTTCTGTTGTTTTCGGAAAAAAAACTGGTTTTGTATTCTTCCCTCGAAGACTCGAAGACCCTTGTTTTTCTTGAGACTACAGAAAATAATTTTTTTCTGTCCTCCTCTAAAATTTGTCTTTAAAAAATCCCAGCACCAACTTCTAAAAAATGCTCACGTAACATAAAATACTGATGTCTGGTGGTAGACGTTACTACGTTACATTTTGATAGCGTTTAGGGAACTAGAACACCCCAATGCAAAGTAACTTTAATCATACCCTGAGTATTAATCTAAAAATATTTTTTTGAAATGATTCAGTTTTCCCACCAAACAAACCACAATTTGTGTTTTCTCTCTCAGCTGAGTGTGAGCAAGCACAAACTGATCTTTTCCAAATTGCTCTCCTTGATTTAAAGACGTCGTTAACGTTGTTACAGATCAGGCCTGTTGCAGATCAAACATCAACCAACAGAAGACGTCTTTGTACTTTCAGCGACTTTCCTCTGTAAATTTACATCATTCTCATCCAAACTGGACCCATTCTACAGGATTCGTGAAATCTTTTTTAAGACAATTGAAATTAACGATTTGTTTCCCGGTCCTTTTGAGAGCATCCACAGCTATTATGGCAAGGATGTGCTTGACAAAATCCTCCAAACGATCAACCCTCATCTGTCTTGGCAACATGTAGGAGCTTTATACATAAGGCACTGCTTTTTTCAAAGAGATCCCGATGTAGTAATTTCAGAGTTGCTTAGCCACTTAGCCAATTTACATGCTCAAAAAAATCAGCGGGGAACCAGTCGCAAGATACACAAAATGCACGACACTTTGGCTGGTAGCCTCTTTCTGCTAAGCAATGATTTTCTCTGCTTCACCAATTTCTATCTTAATCTGTTGTCTAGAGCTAGGTCTAAGTCTTTGCACAATGGAAAATACACAGAGACGTAGCCATAGCTCCAGAAGCAAATCTCGAGACATGGCCTTGGTGGGTCTGTGACACTACTGTCGTGTCCTCTTTCAAGGAGTTTTCTTGGTGGCGGGCTTTGCAATGAGGTGTTTCTCCTGCTCCATCTCCCGTTCCCGCTGCTGCTCCTTCTGCAGGTTCAGCTTCATCTTGTGGTGCTGCAGCTTGACTGCTCTCTTCTACAAAAAAAAAAGGGGAGGCACAATAGATGTTATTCACAAGGAAGCCATTTTGACCATGTTCCCTTAAACTGTCCCATTCACTGTAATCTGTTGCAAAGAGTGGTGGCAGACAATTTGGGATTCCATGCCTCACTTTCATTTTTATTCAAAATGTGACTTCAAAGTTTTCCATATGATAAATCACAAATTTTCAATTTTACAATCAACATAAATGACATGAATTTGTAAACGAAGCTTTATTTCAGTCCGTTCATTTTTAGTCTTGGGTGCTAAAATAAACCAAAACGTTAACCTCGCTTTCAATTAAATAATGGCCGACTAGTAAATAAGGCCAATTCTGGACACAGATATATCTTTGATTGATTGACCTAATTTCCAGACTGTGTGAACAATTGTACCCACAGCAGAGACTTAAAGGACAATTGGATTTGGTGCATGCAGAGTGAAAGCAAGAACAATCCACACTTCAAGGACGGACAAATTCGAAACAGAAAATTTCAATGACCTTTGAGCTTGAGTAAAACTGATCGCCTTATTTTTCATCGGAAAGATGCGTTCAAAATATTGGGATATTAATATGTGAAGATCTGAAAGAGTTTTTTTCTCTTCTTCTCGCCAACTTCACTTATTTATTTATTTTTTTGGAGGGGGCGTACCTTCAATTTGGTTGACTTATCATGAAGGGACATCATCTCTTTCCGCAAGTGGACCAACTTGCTGTGATATTTTTTGGCCTCTGTCATCTGAAAAGAGTTTGAAAACAATCAAGAAGACTTTAGCAAAGATATCTTTCAGTACTCAAAATAACAGAAGGACTGGTAAATAGGGGACTCCTAGGAAAAGAACTTTTAGATTTTTGCTAAGAACTAAGACTAGGACCAAAACAGACTCCATGGGGCAAACCGCCCCCCGAGCTGAAGTGCGCCTCCAGTCGGCGAAAAGAAAGACAGGTTCTGCTTGTACACAATGAGCATACATGCCAGAACAAATTAGTTAGGCGTACTCAGCGTGCTCCATGTCAAACGCGCATTTACTTGCATGCCGATGGGAGTGGATTCTTACAACATAATTGAAAACAGATGGACGAAAGGAGAGGTTTAATTTTAATAAATAATCTGTATTGTAAAAAGTGGTGATACCGTTGCTGTCGATGCTGGGAAACCTGATCCACGTCTGATTAAAACGGGAGAAGTGTCATCAAAAATATCAAACATGCCTTCCTAATCAGACAACTGGATTTGTATGGTTTAGCACCATTGCTTTCCAATTGACTTGGTTCTTAAACTATGCACAAGTATAATGAATTCACGATTGGGTTACTGCGCAGTGTGGAATTTCATGGATTTAGGGAGATTTTGAAGAAAAAATGTCTTGGTCGAAAGAAAGAAAATCTGATGCTAACCTGACTCCGGTGAAGGATTCGTTTACTGAATGATGGAAACAGGGTTGAGAAATTCTGCACGTCAAAAAAAAAAAAAAAATTGACAAACCAGTTCGGAAAGCTCTGACATCATCTTGTTCTCCTTGAATTTGGCGTTCTCCTGCTCCAATGTTTCGATCAGAACTCGCTGATTTCTCCTGCCAGGCAAACACAAGGGGAACTAAGTACCCAAATGACACCGACGGGAAATCATTTGCAAAGTAGTCTGCCTACTTGCAAATTCCCAAGGCACAAACAGAAGTAACAAACTGAGCACCCCTCGTCAAACTTTCTCTGCTCAAGAACAGCCAGCAGATTAACCCGGACCCCACACAGCACATGGGCCTGAAATCTTCAATGCAAGTGTGCAACATCTGTCAAAATGAGAAACCTTTTTTTTTTCGGCAGTGCATCAGAATTTAACCCATCAGTTACCCTGAGATCCAACAGGGGCATTCTTCTTTGGGGCTAGCTCCCAACATCTCACTTTACGCTGCTGATGTTGACTATCCTACACGACACCGTCTCGTTGGTTAAGTCTGGAAAACCTATCCAATGTTCACCAACTGCTTCATACCTTGAACAAACTGCAGCGATTTTGGTACTCATCATTAAGTATCTCGGTGTGGCATAGTGCCCCTTCGTGTCCTTTCCAATGTCTTCGTGCACCCTTAATCTTTTTTCTGAGACTATCCAAAGTTCCAACTTTGGGGTTTGGGACAATCGGGCTCGCTGGTAATCATTTCCTTCATTTGAGTTCAAGAACTAAGCCTTCAAGTCAAGTCACTCACATGAGTTCGTCCAGGACTGCATTGGAGTACTCTGCTTGGGGAAGGAAGGTCTGAAGAAAGCCCATGGTAAGCTTCTCGATGATGCTGTCGTCAACTGGCAAGACGTCTTGTTCAGGCGCTGCTGGCTTCGTTACCTTTCCTTCTGCAAGAAATGACGTCAGGGAAACATGTTGTGAACATGTCAATGATGAGTCTTATCCTAAACTTACAACCACTTCACAACTGCATTAAATACTTCGTGAGATGTAAATTTCGAAAAATTAGCCACTGCCATCTTTAGGAATTATGTAGCTTTCTATTTCAAATTTTGATGCTACAGGAAGAAGAATGGGCACAATCTGGCGTTAAACATTTGGCTATCAAAGTAAAATGTTACATCAAAACTGAACCGCCTCAAACGAAATCAGAACACTAATCACAGCCAGGATTTCGGCAGATTTAGAGCAGTGTTAAAGGGTTCAACACAAAAAGACTGTATATATATGTACGTGTAAATGTCGCTTCTAAACTAGATGTGTACCTGGTTCATTTAATGGATGGACTGTCTCTTCGGAGTTTTTATCTTCTGCTTCTGTAATTCCATCTTTGCATAGTTCTCCCACCACGTCTTCCCTTGGCTTATTTTTTCCAGAGTCCTTTGTGGTCATTGTTTCATTGCTCTGGTTCGTGCTGCTTCTCTTTGCTGATTCGCCGTTTGGTCCTTTTCCTGATGGTGAAGTGTCACCTCCTGTATCTTTGAGGCACGCTTCATCACATGCTGTAGACGCGGGAGGCGAAGGCTTGCTTTCATCCATGGCTTCTCCTCGTCATGGAGACAGATGTTGATATCACGTTAGAATAAAAGCTATGGGAGTTGAGATATCTGGAAGTTAAAAATGGCACGTAAGCAGGGTTGAAGATACACAGACTAGTCATGCTTTGTGCCTGTCAATCTGTGATGATTTGCTGGTTTTGCCTACACCTAGAACTACATGGTTTGTAGTTATGCAACACTCCAATGAATCCTGTAATTCGTCAGAGCACGTACGGTGTGATGATGGACCCTGTAGATCTAGGAATAGGTTTTCCAAAGATACATCATCATGATAATATGAAAATGACCAATGTAAAAAATTACTTTATTTTTCCATGGGCTTCTACTAGGCCTAGTTTTCCAACCAAGCTAGAAGCAACAGAGACATCAGGTCACTAATTTTGCCACTGAAATCTTAGCCTTAGGCTACCAACATGACCAAAATTCAGTGTCATTTAGGTAGCCAAATTAGGGAACTGGTGATTATATATAGTCACGGATGTTATAGCCAACATGATGCCTGATGGTCCAAACTCCTCCCCCCCCCCCTGCTGAGCCTTGTTGTTGATGCACAAATATAAAAGTAAATTACTAATGAACTATTTAAGTAATGATTAATTTCTTTCTCACGGGGCTGCAGCAGGCAAAGGCTACATGAAACTGTTTCTATAGAGTAATATTAGGTGGAAAATAAAGTGAACTGCACTGACACAAACTGCGCCAAAATGGAAGGCGCCGCAGAAAATTGTTACATTTCCATATACTAACGTTACTCCGCCATGATCAGGTCATGTCCCTAGTGACCAGAAACTTCAAGTTCAAGTTAAAGTCAAGTGAAATGCACGAATGTGATACTGATGCTGCTTGTAGCATATGTACCATGCTTGTACTTACAAGTGTTTCTTCACATTTCTCAATTTTCTTGAGTGAAAGCACAAGAAGAAATTGCGTTTTAGCTGCGTTCCTGCACCACCACCACCTCGAATGTTTAGCAGGTTAAAATAAAACCTACGGGAGATCTGGTTGTTGACCCTGCAACTAAATATATGATCGTAATCTAGAGCCTTCGTGTAAGCACCAGACTGGTTGGAGTCAGCTGAACGTCACTATTTATCAAACCTCAGATTCCTAGATTTATCGGCTTTAGACACCAGCTTAATTAATTTGTCCCCCAGACCATGTACATTTTTGCCAAGCAATGTTTTGTTAATTTACTGCTATTTAATATTCAAAACGTATTCTTAACGTAGCTTGCAGTCTATACGATCGTTATATCAACAAACAGTTGTTGTAGAGTAAGGTAGCCGATGTGGGTGAAAAGTAAATTTAGAAAATGGTGGATCTCTTTTCTTTGCGATATCGTTATAGCGCCCTCAATCAAAAGAAGACCGGCAGCAAAAAGGAAGAAGTAGGTTGTGATCAGGATCTGTGGTGATATTAAAAAGGTAATTTTTTTAATTGTAATGTGTACTTTCACACAATTTCTGTATCGTATCTTGTAGTCTTACTAACATGAGTTGATGCTAGATATCTTAAAGACAACTGTGTTCCTGACACGGAGGCTAGTGTATGAAAAACGACCACAAACGTCTTTGACTTGTCACTGTCCGCTTGTCAAATCACCCTACATGTTGACAGTTTGGTCTTAAAAGAGCAAGGTTTTAATAAAATTTGATTTGGATAATCGGAAAATGATTTATTGATTTACCTTTCCTTTGAAGTTAAGCAAACTCATGTCTCTTTATTGCTCTCATTCGTGTCCCATTCATTCATAGATTTCCCAGCAAAAGGCAAAGTTGTAGCAAGAACAAGTACACATTTGAAAAAATTATTTTCAGTAACATCTTTGATTTTGCCTTTCCCGATAGACTTTACTTTTGATATTCAAGGCTTTGCTCATCGTCCAGACAGTAATAAGCCATGGCGACCGGGCCAACGGCGACCTCCATGCCCGACTCGGCCCTATCGCAGCCTCAACACTCCTCCCGTTCGGAAATCAAGCACAGCTGGTACGATCTCCACTGCACAGTCAAGGCCACGCGGCGCCTTCAGACCACGCTTAGCAACCGCGTGCCATCCGAGTTCACCTTCCAGACTGTGCAGACGGTTGAGGGGGTCCGGACCCGCCTCTACTTCCTGGGAGTTCCACCCGGCAATCGGGAGAACACGTTGCTGTACTCGGACCTGCCGGACGACGCTGGGCTAGCAGCAGACACGGTCCCGGTGGAGCAACTACCGTGGAACCCATTGTTGGTTCCCTTCCGGGGACTGAACCACATGGGATTTTCAAAGGAGGAACAGCTTCTCCGTGAGAGGAAAAGACTGGGAATGTACGGTATCACCACGTACGAATTTGATCCGGAGTCGGGAAAGTTCTTATTCCCAGCAAACGGCAGTCTTTTCACGTGCCACGATCCAATGTTAACGGTACAGTGTTGCTTATCTCAACTCTAACTCTGTAGATATTTTTGCCACAAAGCTTCTTAATATTCTCCCAAATCCAACTTCAGGCAATATCTGTTCACCTGTGACCTTTCCTTGTTACGTGCACCAGCTTGAAGAATATGAATCCATCGTTGATCACGTGAAAAAATGAAACACTCCTCTGAGTGCAGAATACTGCCTAGAACAGAGCTCAGTTTTTTGGCTAAACGATTTACAGACCAATCCTAGGAGACACCATAATCACGGCAGCAGTACACTCACGCACAGTTTTAAGCCTATCGTGCCCGCACATTTGGCAATTAAGACATGCAACGCGTGCATGCCACCTGTCCACAAGCGTTGTGCCAGTTCAGTAACGGCTTCAAATTCTGGTTGCAGAATTGCGCTACATGTACCTTACTAAGTGGAAAATAAATGTGTGTTACGATTATTAATATTTAAATGTACCGTATGAGATCATTGGTCATGAGCGTAAAGATGTATGTTTGTACACCGTTGATATCTGGCAGAGGGTCAGACCTCTAGTGTGCTAAATTTCTTGGCGTCTGTGCATTTGTTCCATGGTAAATGGAAGAAGTGATTCTCAGCATCACCAGTTCGTCACGCTCTTCCATTTTTTTTCTTTCATGTAGTTAATATTTACATTTACATTTGTACCCAGTGTTTTTCTGTGGACAGAAATTCTCTGTTCTATGTGGTGGTTCCCCTTTGTTTTCGATGAATTGAGTCCTCGATCATTCTTGGTGTGCAGAACCAGCCGGTGTTCCCCCGCGAGGTGGTCAGCCAATGCCAGGGGGTGCGGATGGACCCCAAGTTCTGTCCCTTCAACAGCGGCCTGGTGTCTTTCATCAACAACAGTGACCTGTGGGTGACCAACACGAACACCGGTGAAGAGAAGAGGTTGACCTTTGCCCACAAAGGTGTGCCCTGGCCCAGATTGAGTCTAAAAACTAGGCAAAATAAAAATCCGACAACTGCAGTCCTCCAGAGGCCGACAAAATTTCTGTGAGACAAAGGCAAAGTTTTAAGTGTTTTACCAGGCTTGCACGTCATAGTTTAGGTTTTAGATAGAGCTTTGCTCACACTGAGCTTCATAATTTGAAGTATTAAACTAGCATTTAGTGTTTCTTGCAAATATTTGTGCTTTTATTTTCAGTTTTTGTTTTCTTGGGATAGTAATTTTCCACAATATTTCTGCTGTTCAGAAGATCTGCATTTCCAGACCTAATGACTAGAATTTTTTTTATTAATTAACCTTGTCCCCAGGTTTGCAGAACATCGCCAAGGATCCCAAGTCAGCGGGCGTGGCCACTTACATCGTCCAGGAAGAGTTTGACCGCTACACCGGCTACTGGTGGCAACCGCAGCCCACAGACTTGGTCCCGGGCACTGGGAAAACCACTTTCAGGTAAAGAAAAGGTCACGCCTGCAACCAAAAAAAACTTTCAAAGCCTTTTCAATTCATGTACTGTATTGGAATAGTCGAATGCTGTATTATCAGATGGTTGGTCTCAACGAGGACAGTTTTCTCTTTTTGGGGGGATTAATTGGGTAGGATTTTGTATGAGGAAGTTGACGAGTCCGAGGTTGAGATCCTCCACATTGTCAACTCGTCCTATGGCGAACACGGCGTGGATGATTACAGGTACCCTCGCTCAGGTATGTCTAGGCTGTATC